TGAAAAAATGCAATAGGGTGTCTTTTGACACCATTGGGTATTTACTTCACCTCATAGCATTTTGCACTGAAAAATTCATCATTTTGGACAGTGAAACATTCATCGCTATGTCGAACCACGAATTAAGTGCAAGTGGTTTCTTTTGCAATGATTATGTTGTAGGGCACTACTATATAAGGCTAGAGACGTCGACAAACCGAACTTTGATAAAGGCGTGTTTGTATGGTAGGATCTTCTTTGGAAGGTGTTTTAGAGCCAATATTCGAGAATTTGGTGCTGAAACGTAAGGTAAAACCTCCATTACATGCTCCATTATCAACCAATTGTTGTTTAAATCGATAGAATTCATTGAGAACTATCTGATTTAACACAAAATTTTGGTTTGCAAGCAGAAAAAACCACAATAATGGCTCACTTCTTAAAATATGACATTTCCGTGAAAAAAGGACCATCTGTTTAACTTCACAAAAAGACACCAAATTAATTATTTCTCGTCTGTTTTTGGATGTAAGTTATAGGCGAAGGTCCAAAATACTTGAAACAAGCGGGAAGGTTCGAGAGAAAGTTGAAAGAAATCGACATATTGGTCCGCCAAAGCATGATTTTGAAGGTTCGACGCATACTGAGAAAAATCGAAGACAATGGCCCGTTCAGTGTAAGGTGAATGTGCTATTCGTAGCCCATTAATGAAGGTGTATACCAATAAAAAAGAATTTAATATTGTATGTTTGTTGTTCAAATGGCGAACATCTGAATTTTTTTTATTTTATTCGCCTATCGCTATGCAAAATGTCTGCCAATAAGTACTGAGTAAATATTTTCATCATTTTTTCATGCGATTTTTGTGCTCGTTTATCTAATATGATTTATGTACGTACATGCAGATTAGCAAATAGATACAGAGAGTGTTTAAAGAGCGCATGTAATTCATTCATTAGCTAAGTGATTCTGATGCTTCTTTACGTCAACCAAATTAATACCACTTGGCATACAATTTGCGCACATGCATTTAACACTCATACCTTTATCTCTTTTTCTCTCTATTTTGCTTTCGCACACTTTCCGCGCTATGCATTCGTTATCCGTCTATGAACGCGTGCTCCAGTGGTATCGTTGTGTATTTACAGAGTATGAACACCTGATGCTTTTCGTTTTATGTCGTCGCATTGTGTGTGACATAAGTCTTTGAAATGCGGTATCTGTACAGACTGGATCGAAACACTTTGACGGAACAAAAAAAAATTCTCTTTCTCTCACGCTTAATCAATAGTCGAATACGATAAGCTTAGTGGCATTGAGCATGTGATAGTGCGGCACAATGGAGAATGAGATAGAAAGAGCGATACAATACGCAAATCAAAACAAAACATTTAATAAAGACCGGAATGGAAATGAACTGGCTTATCGAAAAAAAAAATGAATGCGAACCAGCGCACACGTCGATCATCGTGTTTGGGGAGAGCTCAAGAGAATTTCAGAACGCCAAATCATATCAATCGACAACCAGATCTTCATTAATTCGCACCGGCTTTTCGATCAAAAATTTTTCTCTCGCAATGTGAAATTTAATTGACAGAAAACATAAACTCCGTCTGTGTGTAAGTAAGTGAGATTCAGACTTGATTCAGCTGTTTTTGTCTGTGTGTATGTGTGTTTAGTGAGGAGATTTTGCATACTTTGACTGTGATGATTGTTATCAAATTCGTGTTAAAAATGTTTGTTGTTGTTCAATCCGTCATTATCATTCGGTGTACGCGTACCGATTTGTCGAGCAATTATTTGTGATCGTCGCCGTTGTTGTCGTCGTCGTCATTGTTGTCATTGACAATCCAGTGAAACTATTGCATATCAATATATTATATACATGCGTTGATTAACATCGAAATTTGTTCAGATTTTGTTATGATTTTCAATTATCGTTTTACCAAATTTATAAATATTTAGTGGTTTGCTTGACACAAATAGTGAAAGAAGTGACTAAATAGCTCAGCACATTCACTCGTTGATTTTTGCACCAAAATTTACCATAATTTACATTCTTGCTAGTTGTAAGAATGTGTTAATTGTTAAGATCAAGTGATTATTGTGACAGCAATAAAACAAAAGAAACGATTTTATACCGAATCAACAGTGTTATAATCGTAGAACTTCACCTCAATTGATGTAATAAAAGGATTCATCACTTTAATTCGAATGCCATTGTCAATTGAACAGTGTGTAAACTACTTGCGGTTCTTTTCTTCTCAGACCTACTTTTCACTTGCTGTGTTCGAATTTCGATGAAAAACCAACAGTGTTACTTTGTGAATTTTAACTGGTGAGTTCTAAATTTGGAGAAAAATACAATTTTCATTGAAAAATTCGTTTTTTTTTGTGTTAAACTGAGTTTTTACATTCAAATTGGTGCTTCAAGTGGGCTTTTAATTTAATTTTATAAATTGTTTCCACCGAATTACTATATTATCTACACGATAAAATAATAATCTATGAATGACATTATTGTGGTAATCTTTCACGTATCTAAGTGGTTATAAACAAGGGGTAATCAGCATTTTCTTTTTTTGCTTTGACACAATTTCAGCGATGTGAGAAAAATAACATACTCTGCGCACCGTCCTTCAGAACTATTGCTGTTATTTTTGATAAGAATGTGAGAACGGTTTATATCAATTTCATCGGCATTGTTGTTGTTTTGTGACAAACCATCGAATTTTCACGATCTATTTAACATCGTGGCGGGTGAATCGACGTATATTAGTGTTTTTATATACCAATAAGTGTGATAACGAAAAACAAAACATATTTACATCATATATATAATTTACGAGTTCATTGAAATTGCTTTCAAAATAAAATAAAAAACAATCGAAGAATTTACGACTGGACTGTTATCAATGATTCAAACACTTTGAATGACTATTAGGATAATATAAATTAAAACCACCGACTAAGAGAATCGTTCAATTAGTAAAATTCACGTAACATCCTCATAATTATAGTTATTATTGACGTTTAATATTGATTGTTCAGTTCTTTTTTTTTTGCTCAAATGCAGTCACATGACTGAAAATCACTGTGGAAACGAAAAATCTATAATGAATCTTAATCACGCGCTCCCAATTTGAACTGATAACAGAAAATATGGTGTAAACAGAAAGAGAGAGAGAGAGAGAGCTGGATGCTGATAAAAGTGCGAGTATATTACATGAGGGGCAAGACTGCTGTGAAAAGTGCAAATGGCAATAGTCCTACTTTGTATGTTCCCTTTGTGAAATATAGTCGCTGAAAGTTGCAGCCTCAATTTCTTGTGATAACGTATACATCGATTTTGTATAGGATTTTGTATACGAGTGAAAGAGTCTTTGATGCATTTTGGAAAAATTCCCTATTATGTAAAATGAAACGATATTTGCATTTCCGTACAAAACCGCCAAAAATTAGGTGACGAGGATCTAATTTTAAACACTATTTATTTGAAAAATGAAAAAACAATCTACGGTGCACCCGGTTTTCTTGATAAATCTGGTTTTGCCTTGTTTTACACGCAACTTGGGCTTATCAGCTGATATTGCAGTGCGCAAGCATTTTTCGATTTTTACTTTGTTTGAATACAAACGAGTTTTACAGTTTCTTCGTTACTCATAAATTTGACTATTGACCAGCACAAGAGAGAGACAGAGACAGCAAGATTATGAGAATGCGACAGAAGATTATTGGATAAGAACTATTCATATCTGTTAAAAATTATCTATTTGTGATGTATTGGACTTCGTCAACACAACGAAAAACAATCCATCCAATTGACAGACAAACGTGTGACTGTCGTACTTTGTTAATTATTTAACAATTGTAATTTTCTGTCCATAAAACATGTAATTGTTTAGTTTTTTGTTATGTTTTTTCCTTTGCTGCCGATTACAACGATCAATCTTAATTTGTGTCATGATTAAATTTATTGAATTTTGTTAATTAGACAATTATTTATTCATTATTCGTATCAACCTTTAATAAATACAAATTGTTGTGATGCGAGCAGCAAAATATTGTTACGCTTTTAAAATGCAATCCAGCAAACGTGAATAAATTCTATTACGTCTCTCTATGCACACTTTCGATTTGTCATTTTGTAAATTAAATGAACGGATCAGATTACCTATAGCGTAGCAAATATGTTGCATGACAGAAAAAAATGCCTGCACAATTAGTCACTGTAAAGCCTGATGATAAAGGTGATTTGTAACGACAATTTCAATTTGTTCAATTCGATATCTTAATCTTGGCGCGCATTTTTTAAGTTAATTAAAAGAAACAGTTGGTATTCGGAAATCCCAGGTGAAATGCGGTGTTTTTTGGCATTGTGAATATTTAAAATCGATCAGAATGTGTTGGCGATTCATTCGTTGTTTTTTTTTTTTTCATCTGCATTCATTAAGGTGATATTAATTTGAAATTGGCGTTCGAGATTTCCATAATTTTATCATTAATATTATTTTCGTTCTTTAGAACAACTATGCAACTGTTGTCCACGTGATGTCATAATGCGATGCGGTGTGATGGACTTTGATCGACACAATATTTTGAGTATTTACTGTCTATCGATGCATGTGACCGGTTGTACGTGAATATATATCCATACGGAATGCATTACAGCAAAATCATGTTGTTTAAAATCTTCATATCGTTTTTATATCGTATCATTCGCAGTAATCCAAGAACAAAAATTTGCTATTACATTCAAGTCGATGGTTTGATTATTCGCAAAAAGATGTCTGGTCAAAACCATTTGTGTTGTCAAGAACAAGCAATTGATTGATACATTCACAACAATTCTCTCATTTTTGAAAGATCATATCATCAATTCGATTATTATTTTTGTTTGTTGCTTTGCAATCCACACGTAAAGACGTATTTTCGTTGCAAACATTTTATTACCGAAGACAACTAGCAAATATTATATTATTTATCAGTCAAATATATAGATCATTGTTTCACTGGAAACAAATAACAATTCAAGTTTTAAAAGCAAATATCATAAAACGGTGGTCAGAAACTATCACATTCGATTGAACGCGCGTGTGTGTCATCATTTTACGCTATATTACTTCGTTCATTATCGTTTCAACTCTTATATTTACATAACTATAATTATTTTTTTTTTAAATTTTTCGTCTTTCATAGAAAACAAATTCAATTGGGAAAAATACGCTTGGAATAGATAAAATAAAGATAGAGAAAAAAGAACATTATGAGAGTGAAGCACCTTCAAGCTATAACTATTTAGTTTGTACACAACATCGACAGTTCTCTATACGCTTGACGCTGGTTCGTGCTTAGTGATCAGGTATCCGGCGATGTAATAGCGCGAAATAAAAAAAAAACACGAAGGGAGAGCGAAATCCATCCTCATATGTGAACATACATTGAATTTTAATAAGAGACATGGAAATGGAGATAAAACTTCGAACCTAGTGAATCTGCGTGCAAATTGTAGCTACAACACAGATTTCGATTTGGCTCCAAATTTTCACTTGTGTGATATACTATGTGAAATAATAATAAAGAAAAACTACGAAAAAAAGCAACGAAAATTCGAGTGTGATAAGTGGCTGTTGAAAAACCGAGTGACAAAAAATCATCCATAATTGCATTTTTGTGAAGCACAATTTCTGCGCAGTTAAAACGTAAAATGAGCACTGCAATTGCAAAAGAGTGAAACAAAAACAACAAAAAAGTGCTAAAATAAATGCAAGTCATAAAACTATATAGCTGCAAAGTTCCTATGTATATAGTTTTTAGTCGAGATTTTTTTTTACAATCGAAATGTGATCAATTTTTTTTAAACGAAAAGAGTTCATTTTAAACTGAATTAGGTGTAAAGTGTTTTGTTTACATATTCAAATTGTGAAATAATAGTATATAAGTGTTTTTATTGTCGGATATATATAGCAAATTAAAAAAAAAAAACGATCAAAATGTATGCAAGATCACCAAAAGCAATGATGGATACGTTGCAAGTGCCAACAACAACGAGACCCATTAAAATTCAGCCGATGGATGCTTCACTTTCAATGGTATCCGATGACGACGATGAAGGTGGACTAGGTTATCAAAATACACTGGTAAGGATCGATATGATAATATTTTACAAATGATTTTATTAATATGAGTACAATAAGATAAACTAACTTCGTGCGGTCTCAGGCACTATTAAGTATTGTTGTTATTCTTTATGACGCGGAAACTTTTTTTTTCGCTTTTGATATTGTGAATCTTTGAAATATAAAGAAGCGCAAAGTGTTAGGTTAGTACGTTAGACGTACATGCCGTTTAGATATGGTGACCTTCAATATGCCACAGTTATAACTATTATGTTACTTTTACTTTTCCGCTCACATCACTGTGTGCAGTGAAGTACTGCAATCACCCCATTTTGAAATCTTGTATTTAAATTTTTTCGAATTTTTGTAGTAGACAAACAAAAATTTAAATGAGCTGAATGTATTCTTTATCCATACAGTCATATCATATCTATTTCTGTATATATATCTGCGTACAGACAAAAGAGTTCAAATGATAAATCATTGCTGCAATTGCCAATTGGCCCATGATTTTGTTGCCATTTTCAATTGAAAAAAAAAAAAAAAAAAACAAATCCGAATATGCCTGATAATGAGAATCAGTTCTATTGAATATAACGATAGGACAGTATTCAGCACCCCAAAACTACTAAACAAAAGTGCCATAAAAAATACATATATTTTGGCTAAAAAACTTTACTTCTCTCAAAAATTAGTACAGTGAATCTAATATTTTTGGTAGACAAAATTTTGCATAACACACTCTACTCACACGCCATTCGTATATGAATCCTATGTTAGTGGAGAGTTTCTCTGCTTACTTTGCTTGTTATTTTGTCTATCAAAAAAATTAGATTCACTGTATTTGGTAGTAATTGAATTAGTACTACACTATTAATATATGTTTAATATCTTCCGGAAAATAAAGTTCAGTGAAGGAAGAATGAAAAAATTTGGAAACTGCGCGGAAAAGTTAGACTTACGGATGTAAGTTTCTTGATATTTTCAATAATGTGACAGAACGAAATGAGAAACCGTAGAGATTATGATTTCGATATGAGCTGGAATGTCGAATGTAAAGTAATAAAACAAGACAATGCAATAGATATACACGTAGTTAAATGCACAATCAAAGTTCCATATCGAGCGAGCTAAGTCGGGGTATGCATGAAATGCTCATAACATTAATTTTAGCATTTCGAAATACTCTTTCATTTACCAAAAGAATTTGAAGAATTTCGCGCAATTTTCTAACTAACAACATTGCAATGCTTGCCTTAGCACATTTTACTGGAATTAAATTCATAAACAGATATCATTTTTTACTGTCATTTTTCAGTATTGAAAGTCATTTCAGTTGAATTCCTTCTCGGATTTCTTATTCGATGTATTTATTTGGCCTTACACCCCCCGTGCCTATGTATGCCATACGTCCTCAGTAGGGATACGAGGGGTCCGATTACCGCCCCCTCCTGACGAAGTGATAGCCCTTGAAAATTTTCAAAGAATTCTTTCAGTTTGCTAGGGATTTTCGCCAAAAAAGTGAAGAGCAAAAAAAAAACGAAAAAAGTACACTTTTCGCAAAATACATTTCACTTTTTTGCTTACCCCTCTCGATTTTTTTCAATTAAACGTTAAACCCTACCCCCCCCCCCCCCCCCCTAAATTTTTCCCTTGTGGACGTATGATGTATGCTGTGCGTCAAAATAAAACCATAATCGATAATAAGGTCACAAATAGTATGAATATCTGGTCCATTAACGAAAAATATTTGATATAATCATGGTTTAATAGTAGATTGAATGAAACCGGATTCAAATGAGTTTTTATCTTTCAGACAAATAAATTTAAACAACAAAATACCCAGAATTTCTTTGATTAGAATAAATTCCACTGAAAATCCAATGGTGCGCATGATGTCATTCTGTGTTGACACCATTTCGCCATAAATATCCTATTGGCTAGGACCGTATGGGCTAGTTATTGGACTTTCCAGATGTTATTAATTTTGGAATATTATGTCTGCATATATGCAATTGACAACAACTTGAACAATTTCAATCTCTGAATACAAAAAATTGGAAAAACCACGCATTTTTTGATGAGTACTGAAAGTGCATGAATATAGATAATTTTGTCGAATGATTAGATGTGAACATACAGAACGCACAGTGTACGTGCCAGTGCCAAAATAAAATTATCAAAGATAAACTTAAATATAAATACAAAAATGTTGAGTGGCGACAACAACAAACACACGCTTGAATCATCGTCACGTGAGCGATAAATAGACTGGATTTAAATGCGTGCCAGAAAGCCTAACCTCATTCAATAAACATTTAATTCCTTGACCAAAACCGGTATTCACGACATCTCAACACAGTCAGTCGGCGGTTTTGGCTTTATTACATTCATTTCATTATCGTACCCGCACACTTTTTGTCATCCGCGTGAATTCGTTGCGATGAAAGGATTGTCTGCTATGCTGACGATTTAATTCATTGAATCCGTTAGAAGCGGCAATTTTACAATACGAACCAATTTCGAAATTGAAATTTGACGAACCTCTCGTGGAGTTTCGCTTCCAAATGAGATGTTACAAATTTCGATAGACAAAAGAAATGTCAATGCCGTAAAAATGTGCTAATTACCACAGAAAATTACGCATCACATTGAATAAAGATCCAAATATAATTAGCAAAAAGTCGTGAAAAATAGACGATACGATTGCCAAAATAATAATAACAATAAATCATGTTAGAAAAGCAAAACATAAACGCAAACAAATCATCGATTCGTTTGACCATTGAATTGACACTAATCAAGTGCTTAGAAATAAGTATGGTTAAAAAAATGAGGCTATTCAAATGAAAGTAATGGCAACTAAGTATTTGCGTAAAACTTATAACACTGACTTGACGACATGCTATTTTGCATATTTGTTTAAAATGCCGGAATTATTTAGAATTTACGCAAAGAAACACACAAGCAAAAATCAAATATTCATCGGCTAATACGTTATATATAATAAGAACAACTAGATGTTAAATTTTAATTGTGCTGCATATTTTATCGTTGATTTTATCACGTGAGATTATAATGCATTATTAACACCTTTGTTTCGTTTATATTTTGTTTGGTCTTAGTGGCAAATGGTTATTGCCTGCAGTTGATTTTCGCTGCTTAAGTAAGTCGCACGTCATTTTGATTAAGATTTATTGTTCGAGAACCGCAGAAATCAGTTGATACATTTACACCCCACCTCTTTCGCTCTTTCTATCACTCGTTCAATTTACACACTTGAAATAAAAAACTGCAATAAAACCGACGGCCAATCATTTTCACAGCGTGATTGGTATGATAATCTTCATCATAAAAATCATTGACAGCATTTTAGGCTAAAACGTAATCGTTCTCCATTTCGTCGTTTGTCTTTGTTTCAGAATGTTCCCTTAATTTACGCAGCCATTCATGACTCTCATCCTAGCTCTCATCACTTAAAACCGTTGATTCGAGCAAATGACATCGATATAGTTTTTTACACAACAAAATGCGGCCGATGTGATACAGTGACGCGATATAACAATTTCAAATGAATGAAGATGCGCATGAGATATTGTTTGCGTGTAAACGGCAAATGACCAGGCAGGCGGTGAATTCTGATTGAATTAAATGAAGATCTACTTTTTCACTCTCTTGTTCTTTCCTTGTTATCACTTGATTACACACATGTATCGTTTGGTTATAGTTGTGAGGCACAACAAACGAATGACAAAGTTGGATCCAAGGCTCATTTCTTGAGTAAAAACAGTATTGAAATGATCACCGTACTGAATTGTACGAAGTTTTTACTGATTGTCAACAATCACAGAGGCTTTGACCGAAAGCATTCATGAAAATTATGGATTAAGCATAATTTATGGCATAAATTGCAGTGATAATGAGTTAGTAGTTTGATATTATTGAAATTGCTCTAATTGCTCTTTTTCGTTTAATTGTGATGGAATTTAAGTTTAAAAAAATGTGTGAAAAATAAAATTTCGTGAGTTCTAGGTCAACAATGTGTAAACGAGTGTTAGAAGGCGTTGAAAATTCATACATATTTTTCGACATTTAAAAAAAAAGAAAAAGAATTTTTCCACATAATTCGGAAAACAAACGCCGGAAAAAAGAACAATATTAAAAAATTGTAGAAATGTCGTTTCAATTCAATTATCTTTTTGGTAATGGTCAATGAGAAAGCCATTTACAAGTTGACCGATAATCACATGTAAAGTCAATTGCATTCCATTTATGCAGCGATATGAACATGAATGTGCAATACTCGAGTGCAATCATTCAATAAACGGGTTAGTCAACCGTTATTATTCCACTTCTCGCGCTTTTATAAAGCGAAAAAGACCTCACTGAAGATAATAAAGAAATCGCAGCAATGACAATTGTTTACGTGGAACAAAACATTAAATGAGAGTTAATTTTCGACAATCTTCATACATCAACAAACAAATTGAGACATTTTTTTTTTGTCCATATATCGGCGAGTGAGAGACGTGCAATAGAATGGCATTTGTGCGGTTTAACTATTAACTAAGTCATCACAGAATAATTTGCGGGACCGTGCACATGATTTGATTCACATGAGAAATGGAATGATGAGATTCATGAAAAGCATTCATTTTGATTCGTATTCACAAGCACTTGAATAGAATGTCACATGACTTTCGAATGTAATTTGATTCTTTCTATCTCAATTTTTCGTTTCGTTTCGCCTCCAAACCAATTTTCAACAATCCTAACAACATCCGTTTTATTAGCGGTCAAGTAAACAGTGAGGCAAACGAATGAACGAAGATGGAATAAAAATGTTTATATCGAAACACACAAATGCAAATTACACTTAAGCGCATATACCATTGAGCCTCGAGGCAAAGTGCTCATTGTTCGTTCGTGAATTCACAGTGTGTGTACAAATGTATATGAGCTTAACATTTGTTGCATGCACTGCTTATCCGGCACGACTGTCTACCGCAATAATACTAACCGAATGCAAATTGGTTGGAAATGAAAAAGTAAATCTAATGCTTAAGTTCAATGTGTTTGTGGGATGCGTTTTATTTCGACATATAATTGTTTTAAAGAAATACTGCAAAGACCGATGAAATTAATTTACCAAGAGAATCTATGTCAATATGAATCAGACCACTTAAGTTCCTTCCACCGTCCGAAATTAATTTTATGAATGAACAATTCATTAAATGTGATATTGTACTGTAATTGCCAATGCGATGTCATCTTCCGAAAGACTGTTGCTTAATTTGACTGCACTCATTCCATTCATTTTTGAATGAAAACATAATTGTGACGGAGAATTGGCATTTTCATGACTTGTTTAATCGTTTGTGTGGTGAAATATCTTTCTTTATTTTATAATTATTTCCTACTTGCATTCAACGCCTGCCCGAACCGCAGCCGACGCGAATTAAAAAATTTTTAAATCATTTTTTCTCCACTGCATATAAAAAAAAAAACTTGAAATCGCAGAGTATTCATTTCACTTTGTATCACAATTATTTTTCTAGATGTCATTTTAAAGAATTCTATGTTGATGTAGTGCAAAAGAGACCATTTCAAAGCACCGAACATTTATTTATTAGTGTGTGTTTGCAAATAATAATAAATTGATCCAAATGACTTTGTGTGAGCAAAATGAATAACTCCATAATTGAATAACATCGGAGCAGCAACGATAAGAAAAAGAAGAGACCTTAAGTGGCGTGTCAAACGCACACTCAAGAAATATAGTTTTGAAACTTAACACGAAATAGATGTCATATTAGTTGCAAAATACTTTATAACATGTCGATGGTGTGCAAGTGCAAACAATAGAAATCTATATTGAATAAGCTCTAACAGCTTGAGTGACTTATTCGATTAAGTAATTAATTTTTAGAGAAAATTTAACGAAAATGGAAAAAAATGCAAAACAATCTACGAACGAAAGTGGCGGTGCAAAGCGTACGGAAGTTGGTAAAAGTGATCTCGTCATTCACGATGGTGAAGAAAATGTGGAGCTGGTTGACTCGGAATGGGCTGATTTTGAGCGAGCTCTCAGGTATTTATTCACTGGATGATCGTTTTCTTCTTCATCTTTTTCGTCTCCTTCCCAAGTTCACCGACAAAATTAATTGGATATTGTGCTAATCTATACTACAAATAGAGAATCGAATAAATTCGTTTGATCTGTATTCGGCTATTTATAAAGTGCATGTAATCTTCATTAGCACTTTATTTTTCTCATTGAAATTTTGTTTTGACGCTAAAATTTTGCAGAGAATTTCGCGAACGGCGTAAACAAAATGCCATCAAAAATGAGCTGAATCAACATAATCGAGTGAAAAAATCACGTCGCGCTCGCACCACTCAACACACATTTTATCCGTGCCCACCGCCGACCGCATCCGAATTAGATAACTATGAATCGGATGATTCTGACGATGAATTTATCGACTATAATGCTGTAAGCACACAGCATGCCATTTCTTTTATTGCTCGTTTTTATTGCATGCATTTTTCGATTTGATGATGATGATCAACCAAAATTATTTTCTGTTTTTTTTTTGTTTAAAGTTTCTTCACATTTTTGCTCACTTTTGTTGCACTTTTATTTATAATTGCATGCATCGATTATTCTTACTTTCCTTTTGCACTGTCACTCTGTAGACTGTACAGTTAAACTAAATTGAAATCATGTGAGTCAGGTGCTAAAATGAACGAAAACACAATAGATAATAAAAATCCGACAAATTAGTATGCGCTAACGTAGGATTAATGCGTATAAAAGTGATAAAAAGACCGCAGATATACCAGTAACTATATAATAAATCACCTGCAAAGGTGACTGACTGTTATTGAATGCATACGATTATCGATAATTTTCATTGTTTTCCGATGATGATAGTTGCTATAATCAATTTATAATTTCAAAATGAATGCATTGTATTACTTCGTGTGTAACAAACTAGAAAAAAAAATTTCTTTATCTTGTTTTCCAACTCACTGGATCGTTCTAAAGTTGACACTTAAAGTAGTTGATTTTGCATTATTAACTTGGTCGGGCATCCATTCTAAAATTACTCTATATAAACATCGTCTGTACCGTTATATTGTGGATTTAGATTTTGTGCTTTCCATGGCTGTAATTATATAGATTAATTTTTGAAATAATGAAAAAAAAAGTGGTTACATTATCGATATAAAATGTTTGAAACACATCGCAAACAATGCGTCAACATCTAAAGATTCATTTAGAGTAAATTTCACGTGACACATATGTCAGCAATATTTTTTTCTACACATTGATAAATATGGAATGTTTTGGTCATAGATCACGGTCTTATCAAGCATGTGATATTTTGGCGTATTGGTTTCTGAAAGGAAACTTTCTGTTCACAACGGCCCGAAAATTTTCGCAGCCCCTTTAAATCACATTAATGAAAGTTTTTTTTTTTAAATATTCCTAGAATTAATTCTCCAATTCTTCCAATTGGCAAAAGTTATAATTAGACAATTATCTATTTTAGTTCATGTGAAATTGGCAGATGTGGTGTTAGATAGTAGAAAAAACTTTTTCGCTATATTTAGCAAACCAGCATCTTATAAGTTAGAACAAAAAATAATCTGAGTTTATCCAAAACTGGACATTTGAAAAAAAAAACGTGTATTTCTTTGTTGTAATATCTCATTTTCCTATGACAATCAACTGTTCGCATGATTTAAATTTAGTGACGTACAAACAGAAAAAAATACAGTTGATAAATATTGAAACAAATACATTTTCTCTTCACTTCTTCACATGGACTGGTTCAAGATTAAGAAATGATGTAATCTAAAGAAAAACAGAGCATTCAAAACAAATGATGTGATCACATGACTGTTTCTTTTTTGTTCAATTAAATTGTTTTATTATTCGATTCTGATCCGAAAAAATCCATTTATTTAAATTACTTTAGGAAAAGTACTTTCCAAATAAAACACAACTTGTGCAAATAAAAAATGTTGCCGATGCTATCAGCGCAAATTTAAATTTCTGTTTCTCAACGGTGCAAATGAATCGGATAAACTTGTGAATATTTGCGATTAGATTATAATTTAACACATAAAAGGCGATATACCGCAACAAACTCTCAGTTTGATTAAGTAAATTGACCAGAATATCATAATCAATACGTACACATGTAAAAATGAGTTGAGTAAACTCGCCTCAGAATATGTATATTTTTTCAAAAAAAAAACAACAACACTGCGAATCGGAGTATAAAAGGGAGAACTGTCAACGGTGTTGAATCTCAAATGAGCCTTTTCGCGAGTGTGTTATTTTACATATATATAAAACAGTCGGAGCGTATTTCACATTGCAGAAATTCCGTCCGCGTTTTGCTAATCGAGTGTGAACAGTTTTAATCGAACTGTTCACGCGCTTAGTCTTTGCGATTTTTTTATTTCACGCTCGCTTTTATATTGTGACACACAAAGTGCTTTCAACAAGTATATATTCTCAATTCGAAAATAGGTCAATTGTTTTGTTAGTTTCAGTTGCCAAAGGACCCAGTTATTAAAATTTAATTTTTATTCGAAAGAACGTGCACAAGGTACAAAACGATGTACTTTCTTCAGTTAATGGCCAAAGAGCACAGTGACCCAGCACAACGTGAATACTAGTGTTTAATTATAGTGTGCATTTCAAGTATTAAATCGATTTTATTCTATATGAGAGACACAACAGACTTGTTCCATTTAATAGTCATGCAAATCATATCGAAGCTAGCAATGTGCATAATAAAAACGAAAAACAGCGAAAAATACGGTTTCCGTGGAAAATTCTGTTGAGTGTATATGTGTGTGTATGTACGTGTGGAAAATTACATCTCGCTTAAATAAAAGCCAATACACCCAAAATCGCCAATTTTCGGACAGCTCAAGTACAAAATCAAAAGAAACGACTGAATTTGTTTTGTCGAAATTAAACGAAAAAAAAGGGAAATTATCAAAGAAAAAAAAAACAATTCATGTGTTTTCCCCCCAATTGTTTTGTGCTGAAAATAAAATCGTATCTAAGCGAAAATCGAAAATAGAACACTAGTATACGCAAGCGTCGCAAAAAAAGGTGAAAACACACACACGTTGGGAAAATTCAAGTACAAATATCAGACGCACGAATGTTTTCACATACAATCCGACAAAGCAAACACGATTGGTTTTGCTTCGATCAAACGCCGTCGACTCAACGATCCGACGCAAATGAAGATCATACTTCAATGCCGCCAAACACGAATCTATTAACCTGTAACGACAATGTCAAAATAGTTAACGAAAATTATCGAAATTCTGTAAGTGGTGAAATATGTGCATTTTCATACGTTTTTTGACAACACCAAGTGACAAAAAAAATTGAGAAGGCTTTTTCTCAATTTTGTGGTTTTTCGAAATAATATTAATACCCAAAAAAAATATTTTGCGTTAAATACTGTTTTTATTATATGCATTTAAAATCTTTTTGATTATACTTTCTCCTCTTCTTGAATTTGGAAAAAAAAATGATTTCTACTTTAATGAACTTGAACAATTTTGTGGTAAACTCTTTCTTTTCGCATCTTTCTGAATAATTCAGACTGAAGTCATGCATGTTTGTCTGCTTAAAACCGATTATTTTGAATTTGAAAATGAGCCGCATGTTTTATCTGCATTTAAAAAGAAAAAAAAACGCCGCAATAAAAGAAAAGAGTAAAATTAATTTTATGGTTTGTTTTACAGATGTATGGTCGGTATACGAAGGATCTGGGTGAATATGCAAAAAATGAAGCGAGAAAACTTAAAATGCTTGAGCGTCGTCGAAAGAAGGAGGATAAAGCCAGAAATAGAGTAAGTCTATTATTTATCGAGAAAATGTAAATTATTTTCAATCTCGGTTCGAGTTTTTGCTGATCTAAATCTTTTGATGTTGATTTGCCAACAGGAATTGTATGGCAGACGTTCGAGTCGTTTTGTACGGCTTTTGCTCTATCTCTGGAAAAATTCATTTGCAAGACTTGGCGAGGATTGGGTGTATTTGGCTTTATTAGGAATTATTATGGCAGTTTTATCCTACATTATGGATAAAGGCATTTCAATGTGCACAAATGGTAAGTTACATCGACCACAAATAATTCTTGCATATTTATTTGCGGTTTGTTGATTGAACGACCTCGTTGGTTTTTATTTCAAAATTCATTAAACATTCTTTTTTATCACAGCCAGAATCTGGTTATACAGAGATCTAACGTCGTCACAGCCATACATACAATACTTTGCATGGGTGTCACTGCCGGTGTGTTTGATTCTCTTTTCGGCTGGATTTGTGCATCTCGTCGCACCGCAGAGTATTGGTTCTGGTATTCCCGAGATGAAAACCATCTTACGTGGAGTCACATTAAAAGAGTATCTAACATTTAAAACGTTGGTAGCAAAAGTGATTGGATTAACAGCGACCCTTGGGAGTGGAATGCCACTTGGAAAAGAAGTATGTGATGTTAATTCGATGATTTACAAAAAAAATAATACGAACGAAAATGCGCTCATTCACATTGAAATGTGACAATTTTTAATTTACATACGAATCAAGAACACATTGTCGTATGCGATGTACGAATGAACACGTCTTTTATTTCAGGGTCCATTTGTGCATATAGCTAGTATTGTTGCTCAACTTCTATCCAAAATGGTGACATCGTTTCAAGCAATCTATGAAAATGAGTCAAGACACTGTGAAATGTTGGCCGCCGCATGTGCGGTTGGAGTAGGTTCATGCTTTGCAGCTCCAGTTGGAGGTAAAATACACTCAAGTTCAAGTTACATACACACAAAAAAAACTATAAGTGTGAAATAAATTTACTTTTTTCGGAAGGTGTACTGTTTAGCATTGAAGTCACGACAACCTATTTTGCTGTTCGTAATTATTGGCGAGGATTTTTTGCTGCTGTGTGTGGTGCTACTGTGTTTCGTTTATTGGCCGTTTGGTTTCAAAAGGCTGAAACTGTTACAGCTGTTTTTGCAACCGATTTTGCCTCAGAATTCCCATTCGATCCACAGGAACTGTTTGTGTTTGCAATCATTGGGTAATTATTTTATAGTTATTTTTAAAAAATTACGTTCAGAGTTTTTAACAGTTGTTCCTCAGAGAAACAGTCCCTGATTGTTATTAACTGTTTCTTTTTCTCATTTTTTGCAGTTTTGTTTGCGGTTGCTTAGCATCGTTTTATGTTTGGGTCCATCGGCAATATGTTATGTTCATGCGATCGAACAAGAAAATGAATTTGTTTTTACAGAAAAAGTGCGTTAATCGACTTGCCATTTAAATTTTCTCGGATTTTAATTGATTTTCGTTATTTCAGTCGATTTTTGTATCCTGGCATTGTGGCGTTGATTGTATCGTCATTTTCATATCCACTGGGAACGGGTCAATTTATTGCCGGTGAACTGAGCACACACGAACAAGTACATCAATTGTTTACGAATTTCACATGGACCGCAGATGAATTGACCGTCGAACAAGCAACTATTGTAAATTACTGGAGCACAGAATACACAGATATATTCTTTAATCTGTCCACTTTTATGCTATTCACGGTAAAATTCAATTTTTAATTTAATAGATTTGTATGAGTTGTTGTTAATCAAAAGTTGATGATTCCAGTTTGTATTCTCGATTATTGCGTCGACAATTCCGGTGCCAAGTGGTATGTTCTAGGCGCAAATCACTTAAGAATTGCTTATTAATTATTATTGAATATTTTACGATTATTTTAAATCAATTCGATTCTATTCTTTTGTGATTCTCCCCTTAGGTATGTTTATACCAGTATTTAAAATTGGTGCAGCATTTGGGCGAATCGTTGGCGAAGCGTTACATTTGTATTTTCCGCTTGGAATTCGATATGGTGGTCATATTTCGCAAATTATTCCAGGTAAGAAATCGATTTTTAAATTTAGTAAAGAGTATCATGTTTCATACAAAATACCTATTTTAGGTGGATATGCTGTGGTGGGAGCTGCTGCATTTTCGGGCGGTGTAACACATACCGCGTCCGTTGGCATTATTGCGTTTGAAATGACAGGTCAAATAACTCACTTAGTACCCGTTATGATTGCTGTGCTCATAGCAAATGCAACAGCAGCTCTGTTACAACCATCGATTTACGACAGCATCATTCTGATTAAGAAATTACCATATCTACCCGATTTGTTGCCATCGGCAAGTGGAATGTATAATATATTCGTCGAAGATTTTATGGTTCGCGATGTGAAATTCATTTGGCAAACGATATCCTATCAAGCGTTGAAAAATGTTCTAAAACAAAACAAACACTTAAGAAGTCTGCCGTTGGTTGATTCGCCCGAAAATATGATATTGTTGGGATCAGTGCAGCGTCATGAATTAATTAAAATGATTGACAAACACATTGGTCGTGAAAAACGTTTGGACGTTGCAGCCAAATGGCAGAAGGAGGCCGAAGATCGAGCACGCGAAGAATATGAAAAGCGTCAAAAAGAATACGAAGAAAGAAATAAAAGCCGTCGATCATCGCGGTTTGAAGGTGAGTAAATTTCTAACTTATTTCTTTTCTTCTTATCAATTATGACTCCGAATGTATCGAAAAAAGTTCAATTTACTCACCTTTTTGATTTTATTTTTGAAGTCGTACCCGCTGCGGATGTATCAAGATTACGTGAAATTGCCAACAATGAAATGTTACCGCCACAAGCAAGAAAAGCCAAAGAATCATTGCACAATCCAAATCTTGGATCATTTCCACGAAAATCGATTTTGAAAAAGACAAATTCATTCAATTTGAGAGGTTTTACACCGGTCTTATCATCAAGTCCATCGCATACACCATACTCAACAATAACTGCCGCAGAGAGTCGATTACGGTCCGCATTCGATATCATTTTCAAAAAGTCAGCTACTTTACAAGATGTTCACCCGGATCAGGGATCCACTGAAATTAACAAAGACATAACGGAACAACCACTGTCAGGTGTTTCAACACCAAATAGTACACATATACCGTTGGATGTCTCATTCAGTCCAAATGTATCGAAAAAAGTTCAATTGGTAAGTAAATGTATTGAAATCTATCGAAAGTTCGGTAAACACATCTGAAATAATCGAATTAAAAAAAAAAAAACTTCAATTCTTAGCCACGTGAACGTGTCATCGATATGTCACCAGAAGATCAAAAGCTGTGGGAAGCCGAAGAAATGGCAAAACCAATTGATTTGGAAGGTGCCCATGTCAAAATTGATCCATCACCATTCCAATTAGTAGAGAAAACGTCAATTTTAAAAGTACACAGTTTATTCTCAATGATTGGCATCAATCATGCGTATGTAACGAAAATCGGAAAACTTGTTGGAGTCGTTGCATTGAAAGAGGTGAGATCTCTACATCATAAATATCAAGGCATTTCATTTAAATTCGAATATATTTTTTCATCAACAGCTACGCAAAGCCATCGAGGATGTGAATAGTGGTAATTTAACATCAACACAAACAAGCAATACGGAAACGACTGAAAAACCACCATTGCCGCAAGAGTGCCAGGTGCCACTTCTAACAAACGAAAAGGAAAAAAATGAAACATGTAATAACCAAAATACGGTGAATTCGATGGATTCAGCTTTATCAAACTCGGATAATTGTTCTGACGTCGAATTGGGAAATCCAGTCGAACATAAAACTGAACCAAAGTAGAATTTATAAATTATTTTGCAAATAATCAATTCATCTCGACTAGAACACGCAGCTCATTTATGATATGTTTTTTATTTAAGTTTTGACATTTTATCGAATTGTTTGTTAATATTTAAGCATCTATTATTTTATGGAATGGCCTAAATGAATTGGTCAGATTGTAAGACTTTTCTTGCCAGTCAGGTTAATTGTGATTTTACATGAAACGAAAACGAATGGACGAAATGGTTAGGAATAAAGAGTAGCACTCAAAGCGATCAAATCGTAATTATACAAATGAGTCCTCGTAAATGTCTATATTAATATGTGCCAAGTTACAATTGTAGCGTTCAAATTGAAAGTAAATTTCAGTCCTAGAAAGATTTTTTTCTCTTTTTTTATTTTAGTGACATCATACATTATTGCTAGGGCTTTTTGATCGCTTTAAGCTTATTTCATTAATAAACGAAATTATTGAATAATAAATTACCTTGTTTTTCTAATAAAAATCAATGTCTTCAATAACAGTCCCTTGATATTGATGAATGATTGTCGTGAATGCTTTTCAATATAGCGTGGACAGCTGTTACGAAAGTCCAAGAATTCGTGATTATTTTTATTTTGAACAATTGCACCAAATATATTTGGCTTTCATCATCTCAATATGCACGAATGAATACATAAAGAGAATAAAGTCAAGTGATAACTGTACTTGACATTCCATTAAATGACATTTTACGTTATACATGGGCACAGGGGGGTGTAAGCCCGGATAATCCCCCCTTAAATCGTCCGAGGTACCCCTCCCCCGACGGCAGCCGAAAATTCTTTTGATTTTCGATCAAAAAGTGAAAACCTTTTTTTGCTGTTCAAGTTGTTTGCTGGAGACCCCCCTTAAATTTCCATGTATGTTTCACGTTGTATCGATTGTGTATTTTGAATGTGGTTGAATTTTGTTTCTCTGTTCTATTTGGTTAACCCATTCGCCGTCCCATTCGGGACACAGATTATTTTATCTCACAAGATCGTAAGAAGGTCAGTTTTTGGTTTTGTTTTTTCTTTCTTCCAAAATATTTTGAAAATTAAAACCACGTCGCTTAATTGTTGTGACGCCTCGTTAAATTGATATTAAATCTCTCTGTATTCATCAAACCATTTATTTGCAGCGATGACATTATTGAGAAAAATATGATGTGAAAAATGAGTTAACTGCTTACATACGTATTTGTTCGCGGTTTACCAACATTTATATTTTTCTTATCTCTTCTTCTATCTCTCCGTTGATGGAAAGGTATCGCTGTCCATCGATTTTCCAACAAAAATTTAAAAATTTAAATGAATCGATAAAAGGAGCCAAATTTCTTCACAGCTAAATTCTATTGATTCGACTTCTTCGAAAGCATCATTTTCTCTTTGCCGGTCCTCGAGGGGACTAATTATCAGTCTCTGTGAATTGAAATTTTCCCATTACCAGAGTTTGGAAATTTACAAGTTTACAAATTCTTTCGATTTGCCTTTTTCCATATCGATTGATTCCAATGATGATTTATCAAAATATTTAATATTATATATATTCATAATAAATTGTATCAAAAAACGAAAAATGTTATTTTCTTGGATTATCTTTAATAAAAATATTTTTGTTATTACAAAAATGATGAAAAAAAACTGCACAGTACGGAAATAATATCTAAATCTAGTACAAAAAAAAGTGTTCCATATAGTAACTAGCTCAAGAAAAAAAACCTTTAGATGAAGTCATTTAATCAAAAAAAGAAGTATTTATGCACCCTGTTGCTAAACTTTGTACTTGAACCTACTTTAACTGTTTTTGTTTTTAATTAACTATTTGTTATTTAATTCGATTGATTACCATTGATTCAAATGTCTAATTAACTGTCGCTTTAGCTATTTGATCAAATGAATGTTTCGTTTTTTTTTAATTGTATATTGTGTTAGTGTTGTCGCCGGAGTAATACCAAATCACGCATCAAAAGGTTTGTTCTTCAACTTCAATTTTTCTCTTACTTTTTCTTTTTCTTTTTTTGAAAATAGTTAGTTGTTAGTCAACTGTTTCGCCAACTTTTAAAACATAGATAAAAGTGAATATCGGACAATGCTACACATACATAAAGTATTTAACGTTTATAAAATTCGTTAGACTTATCAGACTTATTTTCTAAAAATGAAGAGAATAAAAAATAATATCAGTGAAATGACATATATTCAGTAGGTCGAAAGTCCATTTGGATTGATTACTGTGGAGGATGGATTGTTGTTGGCGGCGACAGCAGCACCGGCGACAGTTGATGGGGTGCGCGATGAATTATTTCCAACGTGGCGTGTATTTTGTTTCGACTTGTTTGGCTTAACCGAATTCACGTAAGTTGGTGTTCCGTTGCTCTTTTTCATTCGACCGGCCAAAATGTATGCCAAACGCTCCTATACAAAAAACAAATGCATACATAAAATATTATTTCTATGCCAATCGACACATATGATCTATAGCATTATCATATTGTGACACTCACCAATGCACTTGATGAGTACGTTTGCAAAAAAGTGTACAACACCGAAACTTTGGCGATAATTCCGTATGCTTCATTGACAGCGGTCGATTTGGCCTTTTCCAAGTGTGCAGTTCTTATCAGTGAGTCAGCAGCGTAAAGAAAGTGATGAAGAAGATCGCGAACATTGCTATGGAATGTGTTAGTTATTATTATGATAATACAATTTCGTTCGATTATTACTTACTTTGGTAGTTTCGTTGCGGTGTTTCCTGTATAATTGATCAAATGTACCATGCGACGTGCCGATTCTCTAGTGATCAAAACCAACAATTCTTCAATGGTTTGTGGTCTGGCTTGATTTTCCGGTTCGTCTTTGCTTAGGTATCCCCATAATTCACGAGCTTTCTCGAGTGCCAATTTTGGATCAGTTGCAATCTTATCACACCGAAAATTGAACAAACAATTAAAATTAACAAATGACATAGTTGTTTTGCAAACCGAATAAAATCGAAAAATAATGTGTGTCTTTTATTGATTAAAACTCATTCCAAATACCAATTCAGCGGCATAAATCAAAATATGGATAGCTTCTTTGCTTTGCTTTTTCAATGCTCGGGCCTCGAGAATAGTGCGTTGTGTCAAACGACGCTTCAACTTTCGAGAAAACCTTTGACTTTTGTGAAATGTATGAATCGGCTTACTTTCATTATCATCCTCACTTATAGCAGCTGGATTCAATCGATTATATGAAACCAAAACAAAATAAAACATTAACAAATCACATGTTTTCTCATAATAATCATAACTACTGTTGAGTTTTTTAGTGCATTTTGTCAATCAAGACAGATTTTTTTAGTGCACATTAAGTGTAAAAACGATAACCTTTGAAACTTTCTAAATAAAAAGTTTTTTTTTCGTATGTGGATGAAGTCATTTGCGGCCGTTATCGCTAAGTAATTCTACTAATATATCAATCTCTCGATGAATGACACCAAAAATGAACGTCCATTAACTTACAATCAATCTGATCCTCGGATGGTAAGTATTTTTCGACATATTTATCAGCAACGTTAATTGCACCATCGATACGATCAGCTGCATATGCTGACAACGGACTATCGAGCACGGCTGTTCCCAGATGCTTCATTGAACCACCTTTCAACACTGGCTGCACCTTTGGAAAAGAGATCTCAATTGCTTTTAACACACAAATAAAAATCATGACATTTTTTCGCTTAAAAATTCTATTACCAAATGATCCGTCATATATTCTTTGGTATTGTTAAACATCTGAAACGTTGAAAATAATTAATCTTAATTAGACCATTTTTTCCTAATTTTTTTTTTTTTTTAATCCAAAAATTCGATTTATGTCATTCGATGTTTTGTTGAATTAAACTAACCATTTGTGGTGGCAAATAGATAGATGGAACCCGTTGTTCAACAATATCCAAGCTATTGCATAAAATTTGATCGATGCGATGCAATGGACCTTCAATTATTTTTACTGCTGGTCGTACGGTCTCAACAGCAGCAAATATAACCCCTTCGGCCGTGTTAAAACTCCATGTAAGTAATCCATTACGTTGCTAAAATGGTTGTAAACACATTTTCAAGAGAGACAAGAAAAAAAAACAATGGTAATGTGGCCATGAAACGAAGATGTGATAAAATCAACATCTGAAATGATGACACGACTCACCTTTAGATTATAATAAACCTTGCCGGCTGTTTTAACGCCAGTTTCAACGAGTGGGATATTTGCGATTCGAACTAGAGCTTCCATTCGAGGTAGACCCGCGAAATGGTCATTGGCATGAACTAAAATAGAACAGAAAAAAGAAAGATAGTTCCATGATTCAGTCAATGATTAAAAAAAATATATATAGTCCCATGTGTAGAAGATGCACACTTAAACAATAAAAAGAGACAACTATAGATACATTCGTGTGTGAGCATCGAATATTTTAAGAATTTTTCCTACTGAATGCACACAGTATCAAAAAATAACTATTTTTAAATGATCACCACACAAAAACTATGGATTTAAACATAAAAAAAAAACTGAAAAAACCGTTCACCAACCATTGTTCACTGACTGTAACTTTCCACTCATTCTGCTTTGAATGTGCATTCGAAAACCAAATCAATCACTTTTCTTGTAGGCAAAAGGCGACGATTTATAATTCAAAACAAAATTAAATAGAATTGATAATCAAAAGACGGCGACGGTGGCGGCAACAAATAACGAAAATACAATTATGTATAAATATAAAAATTTTCGCTACTGATATTGATTTGCGGCCATTCTACGTTCAAATCATTCACGTTCACAACACGAAATGTTCTATACGTATGGGCAAAACAAGTGCTGTAAGTCGAATCATGGACGAAGAGACATAAAATGCTGCCGATTGGAACGAGGCGCACACAAAACAACAGCAATAGCAACAACAGTCAACAATCAGACGAAAGAAAAAATAAGATGACAACAGTGTGCGACGATGCTGAGCACATGTATACATGTATGTATGTGTAGCCACGGTATCGATGCACTTCAGACTGAACACAGTACAGTTCTCGTTTTTGTTTTCGTTGTGTGTGCCTGGTCGTGTTGTCGTCGTCGTCGCTGTTTGATAGCATTTTCACATTGTATCGATGAATCTTGCTGGGCCTGGTGTGCGTGTCAACATAACAATATGATGTTAATATAAGATAATAATAGGAGAACATCCTTTCTTCGATACAGATATTGGCATTCTAAAATATACCAGCCGTCCAACATTGACCAATGGCATTGCTTATGTATTTAAAAAAAACACACAGAAAAAACGACCAAAACACCAACAATAACAACAAAAAATTGGAAAAAAATAAAATGTTGTTTTTATTCACATTCTTTTATTGTTGATGATTGTTCTACAAATTATCTTGGCAGCCACTCATCATTGGACAAACAAATTAATTTCAATTTCAAGGTCAACACGCAGTCATCAGTCTTCGTTTTTTTTTGCAACAAAATAATTCACTATCTACGAACATGCGATTGAAACATGAAAATTCCGAAATCCATTGCATTGAAGTGAATATGAACTACGTGAATTGTTATTAATATATATGTGTGTATGGGGAGTGAGTGAGAGAGGGAAAGCAATGTGATATAAGCCATCGAAATAGAATTGCGCCGTTTTTAACAATCAATTTTTATAAAAATATCCTCGATGTGACAATATCAATGAATGTTTGTGCATGGTCGAATCAATAGCGGTGCTGTGCTTTCTCGTTCAATTCAACCCATGCTCTAAGCAGTCAATGCGGTCAAAGTACATATTTTTTGACAGGCAAAAAAAATATTATCTGTAAATGATACTATTTTAATGGAAAAAAAGAGAGAGAGAGCAGTGACAAAAATACAGATTATTCATGCAAAGTCAAATGACACGGAATGTGAAGTTTTGTTTATTAGCAAAAATGAAACGACACTTATCTGTAGCACTCATCATTCATTCTCATTCTGATCATTTACACCGACAAACATTAAAACCAAAACGTTTTCAATTAAAAATTTTTTAACATGTTTCTTCTTTCGTCACGCATTTTAACAAAACTGATTCTGATAAATTTTACTGATTACAGGTTTTGTTTAGTATATATTTTACACAACACTAAAAAAACAATGTTCGCTGTTTTTTTCAACTCTGAAAATGCACTTGAACAATGGACAATTAAACGGTACGGTCAATGAAACCAAGTTTTAAAAAAACGTGTTTACACAATGTTATAATCAATGCAGATAATCAAAATTGTCGCAACATATTTGGTCGATTTATCAAATTTCTTACCCATATTTCCGATTTGATCTATTTCGTTTTGGTTTTCATTAATCTCTTCTTCTTTCTCACTTGCGCCTTGAATCTCTGCGCCTTGAATCTCTGCGTCTTGAATCTCTGCGCCTTGAACTTGCAGCTCAGCCATTATTATTTTTGTATTTAAAGTAAATTATCTTATTATGATTGTTTTGCGCGGCTATTTTTAGTTTTGTAATTGCGTTCACACTTTTTTTCTTCTTCTTCTTCTTCTTCTTGCTTGGAGTAACAGGTTGCGTTAAATTTAAAAAAAAAATCCACAAGAAAAAAAGAGAAACTGCACTGAGAATTGTTCTTCGTTTTATTCGATTAATTTAAGCCCGTTTCGTGGAAATCAACCGTATCACACGAATCACATTCAACGAATGTTAGCTCATTTCAAGCAATTTGTAGCCAGTCGTTCATGCATTTTCTGTCATACATAATCTGTTCTTTAATTTTGTATTTATATGTTTGCCGCTGTAATCAACATTCGATGTAGAAAGTCCATGTACAGTGCGAACAAAAAAGATTTTCTTGATTTCGTCCACCAATGAAAAACTTCCAGAATTAAAATGTGCTCATTCAAAACGATCGCTGAATTGCGATACTGCTCATATACATATGGAAATAAAGAGTATTACAGAAGTAAGACGAACTTTTTCGCATGGTGCAAACCATCAAACTGAGGCGAAAAGAAAGTTTTTTTATCGAACTGTCCCATTCGAATTGGTGGGATATATGAAAAAATAACATTTTTGGTGGTTTAGTATCATTCAAAAGTCGGTCGAAGGAACTTGTCGATCCTTTTAATATTGCTACCGTATACGGAAGTTGATATGATTATTTAACCCTCCGTTTTACACATGTCCGGCGAGTCACATTCGTAACACATGAGTCTGGCCAGCAATTTCGTTATTTTTTCGATTTTCCCATCGGAAATGCGAGAAAAATCGATTGACAGTTTTTGATATAATATTCGAATATATTTATGTCATATTTCACCCAAATAATGGGGTCCTTGGAGCTACCAAGGATCATATCTAGCACCATATCAATCTGGGAATTTTTTTTTTCCCCAAATGTCATATCGTGAACCCCTCTACCACATGCATCATTTTGAAATAATAAATCTGGCCAATCCGCGGATGTTTACTCATGAGTGAATGCAAATTACATAATTTTTCATATAAAATGTATGTGGGTCTGGCCAGACTCATGTGTTACTAATACGATGTTTACACCAACACATCCTTATAAAAAATCCTTGCGTCCTTTTTCGTCCTGATTTTTTTCATAGATTGATAGCCAATAAAATTTTAGGAAGCTACACGGAATTTCAAGTCGCCAGGTCTGGCCAGACCTATGTGTACAACGGAGGGTTAAATTAATGAGTTAATTGTTTTTGTACTTGTTCTGGTCTGATCAATTGAAGTACTTAGATCAATTGCGCAATCAAAAATGTCGACTTGTACGTTGAGCCCACTATATGAATCTGTGTCACCAGAAAACTGAGTAGTATTTACGAAGTTTCTAATAGGAACAGAAGATGAAATGTAATGTCAATATTTTGCTCTGGTTTTCGTTACAACCCTTACATATTTGATTAAACTTATTATTATTTGCGCAATCGTTCTAGATATTTAAAATTAACAGAAACCAATTAGTTCCATGTTTTTCCTCAGACATTTCAAGAGTGTGATGAAGTTCAGTTGCTAAGCGCGTTGGATACAACACAGTGACGTAACAGCGATACAGAATTGAAAAAAGTCCGCATAAAAATAAGAATTTAATAAGCGTAATAGGATTGCGTACGTGAGGTAACTTTTTCATATGAAAACCAAAATTTAATACCTTTCCCACCAGATGTGCGGAAAAGTAAGAACAATAATTTTTCGTCGCTACATTTTTGTTTCAACTTTCCTATGAACATTGTCACTCTGCGAACACACTCTGCCATTCCTTCATTAATGAAGTTTGTTGCTGATAAAGTTATATTCATAAATAAAAAAGATGATGGGAAAATAACAGTCATCAATGAAAAAAAATTGACAAAATTGAACATATTTATTAGTCGCACTGCAAACGCAATTAAATCAATATGCAAATTGCATTCAAATCGATTCCAAAGGTGGAACATGATTTGTTTACAATTACTTATTAGCTAGGGGGTAGACACGAATTATAAAACTTTGAATCATGTGAATCACAGTGAATCATTCAAATGTCAAATAAGCATCACTTTTGGTTTTACTAACATGATCGTTCAACAAAATATTATCGTTGATTTTATTTGAAATTTACTATAAAAACACGAAAAAGATAAAAAAATGAGTTAATACATTTAAAAAAACGTCAAGAAATCATTTTTTCGAAGACAAATAATTTTAATTTATCAATAAATACTTCTTTCATGACACATAAGTGACATTTCAAATGTCATCTAAACAATGTGAATCTTTTGAATCACAGTGAATCAAATGAATCATGTCTACCCCCTAGCTTATTAGTCACGTCAAATATGTTTAAACAGTTAATTGTACATATTTGACCTCATGCGAGCACAAATCAAATAGTGTATCACATTAAATCGTCTGCTCGTAATCTGAACTAATTTTAAATAGTGTAATTATTTAAAGTTTGTTTCCGAACACACATTTTCAACGCCAGACACAGCCAGACATTTGTTTCCGACTTTTTTTGTGCAATTTTTTCTATTAATTAGCGTTTCGTATTTTCTTGTTTTGCTTCATTTTTTCGATTAAGAAAAACATCTTGCACCTAGAAAATAAACAAAGTATAGAATGGATCATTCAATAATTTCTACAAAGAGTGAGTGAACTTGTTTTATTACATATTATTTTTAGGTGTGTGTTCTGCTCTTTTGTAATTCAAAAATTGTAAATGAATGAAAAACAATGTTGTTCAAGAATTTTATTGCTTCAAATGATTTTTACTGACGATTTAAATTCACCATTCATCAATCAAGCTTCATTGTGTCGGTAAAGAAGCCGCTTATCCCAGTAGACCACCCAATACATTCCCCAATTGTTCCAAAAGTTCATTCAATGAACCTTGTGTCAAGTCTTTAACGTTATTTGCACTAAATACACGCAAAGCGTTGGCAATTTTTAATGAATTTGCTGGAAGATTATAGGCTCTTTCTGATATACCATCCTTAGTTATATGAACTTTGAATATGGGGCCCATCCTTACGATCATTGGCCCTAATGTATTAATATTTTCTTGAGATAACTTTAGAAATGCTGCTTGGACCGCAGGAGCCAGTACAGAGTTTGCTCCAGAAGTCAAACCTGCAAGAACGCCTGTAACATCTTTTTCGGATTCGGCCAACGATCCAAATGACTCACTGTCGCTGTCAACTACATTCAAAGCATTGCCAATATCATTTGGATCAAGTGGTAACTTGTATGTTCCGGGATCGATGTCATCCTCTTTTATATCACATTCAAACAATGGAGCAAGGATTAAAATAACTGGACCTGCTGTCTTAGCGCCGTCAGCGACTAATTTTTTCACTGCTGATTGAACCACTTTGACTGGAATATCAAAGACTTCAGGCTGAGGCGTGGGTCCCGCGTTCACGATGCCAATAACAAGAAAAATTGCTAACAACTTCTGCATTTTTTTCGAATTCTCCTTTTACACGTACTTTTTTTTCAACAAACTGCTTTTAGATAATTGTAATCTTTTGCGCTTGAAATGTACTAGTAATTTCTCATATTTTTTGGTTTTTATACCTTTTGAATGCTAATGTTTTAGATAAAATGTACCATAAAATGTGATTTGATAGACTTTACAATGGCCCGAGCAGATACTCTTTTTGAACTTTATGAGTGTGTTAACAAATGCAGTTAAGCTGATTTCGCGGTCTGATCGCACTCCATTCAAAGCAATGCAGTACTTCCACCTAGCATCAGTGAGTTAAGCTCTTATACAATCTTCAGATACTTGTGGAGTTTATACGCCATCTCATGAGTCAACTCCACCGTTTTTACAATTCAAATTTCTATGGGAAATTTAAAAAGGGAAAAAAAATTAATAGATAAATATCGTGTTGATTTCTTCGTGATTTTTATATTTTTATTTATTTCTCTCTGTAAAACAACACTGAATCACATAAAAAGCCACATTTATTTCATTAGCACGATGTGAAATAAAATAAAAAAATACCTAACACAGTCTGTGATCATGTTAATGAAATAAATTTGGCCTTTTGCTCCTTATTAGATTCAATGTTGTGTTAGTTTGAAATGGAGACGGCAAAGAAAAAGAAAATTTGGAAATTTCTCTGTATTATTTGGCGTTCATGTAAGAAAAATGAAGAAGCCAGAGAGCAGCACAAATGCAACGTTCAAAGTGTGCTTGCCCTTCGGCTGATTCTTTCTGAACGTAAGCCATATCACATGGCCCATATGAACTGAAGAACTGATAGATTTACCTTCATAACATATCATATAATGATTTAGATGTTCAATCAAACTTTTCCATTGTTTATGATATACTTTGACGTACATTCAAAATTAAAATTACATTCGCACAATAACTATGTCAACGAACAATCGACTTTAAGCAATTCTATTTTTATAACACTTTTATTGTACGGAAAGATAAAACAGAGATACGTTTTTCAGTTCGGTTGCTAACTGTTCTATATTTAATGTTCCCAATTCAAATTATTAAGACTATTGGTGATAATCAGTTGATAAAATCAAATTGCCAATTACGGTTGAACCATTTGGTCGAGCTGATACAATTTTTGGGTGCAATTTCAACAAGGATTTCTTTTAGAACTTGGTGTCATTTGAAGCAGCATCTGCGGATATGAACACAATCAAAAAATATAAGTAAATGCGTTGCCAAACACTCGTTGTCGTCCACTATGAAAAACAATAAAAAAAGGTTCAATTTGAATGAAAAAAAGCTTTTTTTTTATTCGAAGAAAAGATGAATTATTTATTTATTCGAACTGTCGAAACCTGATTTTTTTCCAAAAGAGTTTTATTTGCTACGCATCATAAGTATATATCCATAGCTTGTTTTCGGATTTATATAGTTTATCTTCCATGTTGGTTCATGTGATTGCTTTAACTCTTTATTGATGTCACTCAATTCAAATTTGAAAGTGTTATACTCATCTTTGGCAACAGGTTCCCACTTTACCATATTCAATTTCTTCTTTCTACCAAAGATTTGCAATATTTTCTTCGTATTCATGATAAATGGGATATTATTCATAATGAATTCATTGATTTCAATCAACTTTTCAAAATTTGATACGATGAAATCAACATGGGTCCACACTTCCAGTGTTTTCAATTTTTTAAAACAGTTTATAAAATTAATAATTCGACAGTCCCTACAACTTTTACTTAAATGTAGCTTTTTTAGTGTTGGCATATTGAATGAATGTTTTTCAGACACATGATTCAGAAATTCGGTACTATCAACTTGAATGTCAAGTGTTTGCACAGTTTTTACGTGTATTTCGACCGAGCGAAGAATATCTATTTTATTGGTTAACACGAGACCAAGCGTAGACAACTGCTTATTTTTCGAAAAAACCTTTTCAAGCTCATGTAGTTGATATGAATCAGGATTAATCTCCAGTTTTAATTCCTTCAATTTCGTAACATTTTCCATACAAGTCATATTAATTTGCATGAATGAGTTAGATACATACATGTAATTATAATGTAAAGTCAAAGATTCAAGGTTTGGAAATATCGAATTTAAGTCGTATGAATTTCCAAAATCTGGACCATGATAAACAAGTTTTTTCACATTTGGAAAACGAATTCTTTCTCCGCCGTTTGAAAGTTCATCCAAAAATGTCAAAAACGCATTACTGGCGACTATGTGAAACTCTGTGAATTGTTTTGCATACTTTGTGATAATATTTTCATTTATCTGATGGCGTATGTTATCATCTACTTGATCGATGAATTTGTAGTCAACTTTAATCTTCTTGATAAGGTTGCCAAAGTTCTTAAAAAGTGAAAGAGCTTTATTGACACCATAGATGTTAAGGTAAATGTAACCACCTAGATCGAATTCGTGCATTTTTTCGTTGTCAAAATTTATTGGAACGATCTGAATTATACGATCTTCAAGTATTTTCTTGACAGCCGCTGAGGATCTCTGCCTGTCTTTTGCTGCATCTTCCGTTGCACTGAAACCAGTCCTGAATAGGATTTCTTCATATACATTACTTGGAAGATTTCTTAGATTTAAACTGGTCGATGCATCTTCTGAGCCACCTGCACCAACACATTGGCTTATCTAAAATCGTTTGTTTTTCAATTAAATTATTTCTATGAACTTCTTTTGGGGCAAAAAAAAAATAAGAAATGGAAAAAAGATACTCACAAATCCTTCAAAGAAGATTAAAGCCAATGCCAATCCGTACAAAAACTTCATTTCGCTGCGAATTGAGAGAAAACAAAAAGCAACTAACTGTTCAAACGATTCAAGAGAAAAGATGATTCAACTGAGGGTTTTGACTGAAGAATGTTATTTATATCATTTTGGAAAGAAATGTCAGGGCTTACACGTGTAATCGTAAAATACCAATTCAATTTGATCAAACATTGCATCACCCAATAAGTGTTTCTCATTTCATCCATCTATAATTTATTAAATTTTTTGTACTTAACCCTCTAGTGCATAGCTCTGCCTTTTGGCGGGGTGTATGAATTATTATCTAAAAGATTAAAACGTTTTTTTTACACATGAATTAAAACACATCCAGAAAGGATCGGCCTTTCATTTTATATCCATTTGAAAATTGCGTAAAAATGCATGCCGTGAAAAAATTAAATATTATGCAAAGTCACAGCATTTTTGAAACATTTTAAAACTAATTAATCTTCGTTTGCTGGGCTTAGGAAATTTTGGAGGTTCAAAATTTAATGTGTACTCACTTGTGACGACGTATAAATGCCTTTCACCTTTGAAATGTGCTCGTGATAAATGCCTACTTTCGAATTAATTCATACAAACTACAACAACACCTCGACGAAGGTTTTTAATGTGTTTCTTATAAAAATTGTTTGAAAAAAAATTCTAACGATTTATGACATAAAATTGCTGGTTTACATTGTGAATTGTTGCAAAACGCTGAGGGTTGTCACACACAACATACATATCATCAGTGAAGCGTGTATAAACAAAGAAAATTTTATACAGCCCTGCGTCTTTACCGTGTGACACTGCATTTGGGACAATTTCAGTTGACGTGTGTTGTCAAAACTCAAATACAGAACACACAATTAAAGTGAACATATAAATTACATCAATTTAACAGAGCAAATTTGTTGGTTTTTCCATTTCATTGAGAATCGGCATTTCAATTATTTGCATTTATTTTGACGACAACAGAACGAATTTTTAATTGTTACGTGTGCAAGTTATTGTTTTCATAGTATATAATTCGAACGACGTTTACACATTAAAAAAAATATGGGTGAGTCAACATTATTGCAGGCATTCATGTTGGACATGTTAAAATATTTGGCAACGAAATTTATGGTTTTTCTTATGAGATAGAATGCTTAATATGGCTTACATCAAATGTTTATCCACGTCATATCAAAATGACCATATTCATATAATATTTGTATTTGTATAAAAAGGTGTTTGATTTCTCATGTTTTCCGTATTGCAGGTGGACTTTTCAGTTATTTTCGTGGATTGTTGGGCTCAAGGGAAATGCGTATACTGATCTTAGGCAAGTAACATATTGAAAAGTAAACAAAATATAATTGTGACATAGATTTTGTTTCATCGCGATGTCTCAAACAAATAACCTAGAATTTTTGTTTGTTTATTATTATTGGCATTTGGTGCATTTGTTTAACAATATGTTTGCCACAACTTTTCAATACATTTTGTTTTTCTCGCTGTGAACATTAGGTTTGGATGGTGCGGGCAAAACGACAATTTTGTATCGATTGCAAGTTGGTGAAGTAGTGACCACAATTCCAACGATCGGTTTCAACGTTGAACAAGTTACATACAAAAACCTCAAGTTTCAAGTCTGGGATTTAGGCGGTCAGACCAGTATTCGGCCGTATTGGCGATGTTATTACAGTAATACAGATGCAATAATCTATGTAGTCGATTCGGCCGATCGTGATCGAATAGGCATTTCCAAAGATGAACTATTATACATGCTAAGAGTAAGTATTTTCAAATGAATTGGGCCATCGGATCCAATGTTCTCCACTAATTTTCGTCTTTTTCATCACAGGAAGATGAACTTGCCGGAGCAATTTTAGTCGTATTAGCGAATAAACAGGATATGCAAGGTTGCATGAGCTTGGCCGAAGTGCACAGAGAGCTTGGCTTAGATGCGTTGAAAGATCGTACATTCCAAATATTCAAGACGTCGGCCACAAAAGGCGAAGGTTTAGACGAAGCAATGGACTGGCTATCAAACGCACTTCAAGCTAGAAAATAATTATTTAGAACCAACATCCCAAGCTCTATTTTGCCGAAACGAATAACAATTGTTTTCATACAACATTTTTGATTGAAGCATCCAAACAAAGAAAAAAAAACGAAAAAAAAAAGAAATTTAGTGTGTTGTCCAATATAAGTATAATATGAGTTAAAAACAAACCAGCACCAAGAACGAACACTTAAATTACTTAAGGTAAATTTAGCGAGAGAAAAAGAAATGAGAAAAAAATAAAAAAAAACAAAACATTCAATGTTTAATATTCATTTGTATAATGTAAATTTTCAAAAGGAAAAAAAAAAAACAATTGAAACTGTCCCCAAACTATCCTAACAGACAACAAAAATAATTTATATGAAATAAAAATGATCGAATCTTGTAATGAACCTGTGTAGTTTTTAGTAATTTCAACTTTTACCATCGCAAAATACTGATTTCGTCATTGTGCCGCTTAGATCACAAATGGTGCCAATGTTGTAAGTGTTATTATCAATTTGGTGTGTTGTCATAAAACAACATTTTTTTAAGTAAAAAAAGAAGGCGTTCTACGTGTAAATGGTGAGAAAAATACTTCGTTGCTCCATTGAAATTTAGCTAAAGCATCGACTTAAAGCTCTGATAATACCAATGAAAAAGCTGAAAACAACATTTAATTCCACAAAATCACTTGAGTTGAGCATGCTTGGTTCGCTCAGACAAGCAACATTAGTTGAATTCAACGAAATACAATATATGAGCAAACGAATTGTTGTGACATATAAATAAGCCAGAGTAAATTGAACAACGAACGTAGGTAAGACATGCATGCGGTCGCTACGTATTCTCTCTTTCTTACTGTAGAGAGCAAACGAACGATAGTAGAAAACATGGTATATCGAAACATCCACCGAATGGTTTTCATCGATTCCGTCTGAATGGATAGTTGTGTACGAGCGGTACAACAGTTCAGTCACATTTTGCTAACGATACATTGTTTATTATTCATTGTGATGGTAAACATTTTTTTTTGCTTGTGAATTGGTCCACTGAGAGGTTTTGATATTGAAAATTGAATGCCATCATTCTAATTGTTCATCGTGCGACCGAAATAATTTATCGTTTATCGTATGACTTCATCGAAACGGAAATTCCACACAGTTGATTCAATTTTCGTCAAGCGCATAAATGAAAGTTTTGTTCACAAAAAAAAAAGTAAACAAATGACAAATTTGGAGTGATAAAAATAGTTTGCGAATTGATTGTCAATGAATGTGGTTGTTGTTTTTTTCATTCTTTTGTTTTGAATATACGATCCGTCAAAACAACGAAGCCAATGATTTTAGTTTCGTTAACAATTATCCAACCGAATGAACATAATTTAAATTAGTGTGTGACTGATTAACACAAAAAATCTATCTATTCAAATAAATAATCGGTTTGAATGCGAGAAACGATCGATCGGCGATTGAGCAATAAATTAAGAGCAAAGAGTAGTATTTGAATGCGAAGAAATTTATTCATATGCTAGCTGATATATTCAAATTGATCGTGTGTGCGCTTTCGTTGTTTGAGTTGTGACACACGAAATTGCTCACGGTCTCTCAACATTGTGCGCTAACCAACCAATAGATGTTTGCATATTTTGTTGATTTCGAGTGAAAAGTTTAAATGGTGCTGAGTTGTGTTCTCTCTTCAAATGTATGTAAATGTGTATGCAGATATCGGTATCGAGGAGAGAATTTTTATGAATCGTTGTAGAAAGCAACAAATTTGCGTGAGCGCGCGCTAGCTCGATGATGACAAAAAGAGCAGCAGCAGCAGCAACAACAACCGAATAACATTACATTCGAATAATATCAAACAGCAACAACAATATCATTGAAATATAACCGTCGTTTTGTGCTGTCCAACAGAAGACAACAAAAAAAGTATGCGTTGTATACACGACCGACGACAACGTTTTTCTCTCTCTCTCTCTCACTCACTCACATCTAAGTGAGTACGCATATACACAAACACTCTCACAAATTTCACTCCGTGGCCGTTCAACGACTGTGTGTGCGCCTTCATAACACAACACACACCGTAACCGAACCGAAAGAGTTCATTTCATTAGTTCTGTGTTTCTGCCTTTAATTCCATCGCATTTCATTTAGTGCGTTGTGCGTCTCTTTTTTTTTGTTTCTTTTTCGTCGTTGTTTTAAAAGCATTTTTATTCAAATACATTTAAAACGCAAACGGCAAACCGAAGCGATTCGAGCAGCGTTGTTGATGTTGTTCTTGTTGGTTATCGTCATCGTCTCCGTCGACGTTCGTTTCATGCATCGGATCTGTGTGTATTCGTCTGTCTATACTACAAAAGCATGTCACTTTGTACACATACTCGCATGTAGTTGGCAGTAGAAATAAAATGAAAAAAGAAACAGATTGAAAAAGAGGAAAAAAAACATTGGAATGCGAATAAGAGTGGCAACGTTGCCTTCGTAATACAATAAAAAAAAATAACAACAACACAACGGCAGCAGCAACAGCGTACACGATGTACGTATAGGAAGCAAAAAGCGAGAAAGAGAGAAAGAAGCCGAGAAAAGAAAGAAAAAATACTGAGGAATTCAATATGGCCGCAGCGCAGAGTGACTTTATAATGTTAATAAATGCAATGTGAGTCGTTTTTTTTCCTTCGGCCAATGTGATTGTGTGTTTCTCTTTTTTCGTTCGAAATTCGTTGTTGTTGTTGGCTCTCGATCATTTATTGCCATTGTAGTATGCGCACATGACGGGAATGCATTCTCAATCTCTACGCGCGTCCAACATATTCAATTGTAACATACAGCGAACAAATGAACGAATTTTTTTTGTTTTTTTTTTTTTTGTTTCATTATTTAATTTAATTTTTTTTTATTTTCATTTTTGATGTCTACACAGATGATTCGACACTTGAACGATTTTTTTTTTTGAATTCAAACAAGTGAACCTATAATGGGGGAAGCAATTTAATCAATGAAAAAGAAACGAGCGCGAAGGCAGTGATAGTACTAAATAAAAAAACAGTGAACTGAACAACGAAAAATTCGATATATTTTTTTAAAGGAGCAGAGAGTGTATAGTGAAAAGAACAAGTGAAAGATAAAAACCAACTCCATCAATAAATTGCAAGTGAGAAGAGAAGAAAAAAAAGTGAAGAAGGAGCGCGATCGTGCCAAGAGCGCACACAGAGTGTATAAATGGCAGAGTTTTATATTTTATAAATAAATTGTAGTGGAATTTCGCAGTTGAACCATATCCGAATTTAAAAGCAAACCAACAAATAATAAAAGCAGTGCGAAGAGAGAATTATGCAAAAATGACCAACTGAAATATATATATATATATATCTGTAGATTGGATGGCATCGCATGGTCGGAATGTGAGCGTGAAATTCGGCATATGAAAATAAATCAAGCGAATGAGTCAAAGCTCCGATGAATTTTGCTGCTCATGATCAATCGGTTAATATACATATATATTATTTTCATTCTTCTCTTCTTGATGGTGTCTTTTTTGCACACACACACACACACACACACACACACACTGGTTGTTGTAGCTGTTTTTGCGAAATGTGCGCGAATGTTTGAGGTGAAACCAAAGTCTAATATTAAATATGCGCAAACGCTGACACTCGACAAAAATTCTTGTAAATTGTGCAAAGTGAATAGCCAGTGAAATCCAAGATATTCAGTGTGATTTGAATGCATGATATATATATATATATATGTGAGTGTGCGCATAGTTTTTTTTTTGTAAATTCATTGCAATTGCACGAAGTAGTTGGCATTTTTATGCAAATCAGCGGATTTTTTTTTGTGTGACAATAGTGTGAGGAAAGGACAACAGCGACAATTAACATCGACTCAAATTTAGTGTAAGCTTTGTTTGTATGTGCGCGCATATCGAATTTTATTGGCCGTCTGATAACGACGACAAAAACTAAAAAAAGGTTGCACATTGTAACTGGCGCAAGTGTATTTCAATTTTATAAATTATAATGCCAAATATACCACCGAGTAATGTTGATCTTCCCAATGGCTGGGATATCGCTAAAGACTTCGACGGCAAGATTTACTATATAGATCATGTCAACAAGAAAACTACATGGATTGATCCCCGCGACAGGTTTGTATATCAATATCAATTCTCTTTTTTTAACTATACTTGACCAATATCGCTGGTACTGGTCGTCATTTTTTTTATATTTCATATTCAACTGTTGTTTTCCATTGCACGTTGGTGTGTTTGTGCACGGCAACGGCGGTGGCTTGAAAAATGAATGCATTTCGCTTGACCGCTTTTGTTTGGCTCGGCTAAATGTGCTCCGACCGACTTGTCGGAATGTATATTGCATATAAATTATGACAAATATAGGTCGTTTGCAATTTTAATTTGCAGGAGATCGGACGACTTTGGTAGTATTTCTCATGTGTGTGTATGGAAAAATCAGGAACCGACAGAGAAATAATTTTTTTTATTAGTTTGAATGAATGGATTTGATTCAATGAACGCGGCAAATTGAATGCAAACAAATTGCTTCATTTGTGCGATACACGCGACCAATCAACTAAATCAATATTTGTAATTCATTTGGAATGTCTTTCTCGTTCTCTTTCGCTACGTGTGTCTTTCGACATTTATCATGCCCACAATTAACTGACTGACGCAGTAATTTGTGTATATTTCGGTATTTCAGCTACTGTTCATTGTAACGCAAAAACGGTTCGAATTTTTTTCTGCATTTCCAATGATTTGAAGTTTTTTTTTCAATCGGCCAGAACTTCGTATATAAAGAACATATAAAAAGCACACATTTCATGCTAGCCTTCAAAACAAAACGCGCACAAAAAAAAGCCACACAGCGTTGTTGTTTTTTTTTTTGATGTTCATCAACCAAATTCTAAGAATAACTGCATCTGTCGTTTTCTTCTTACGATAAGTTGAGCTATATTAATGATGATCTCGCTGTGTGTACACTACTGCACATATCATATTGGCCGGCACGAAATGTGTGTGTCTTGTTGTTGTTGCGCCTTTTAAACGCAACCAACAAAACCAAGATGAATTAGCGAAACCGCTGACGCGCTCGTTCACTCATAAAAACGTGAGTGCATACAATTGTATATACATTGTTTAATGCCGTGAATATTTTTGTGTGACGTCAAACATTTTTCCATTTCAAACGACAACGACGAATATAGCCCAAGTGGGAATATATAGTGAGAGAGTGTTGTTGCGCTGAAATTGAAAACGAACGAAATATAATAATAAACAAAATGAGTGTGTCAAAATGGACAACATGGACCTAGAAAAGACAACGACGATGATGATGTGATTTTTTTGTGTTTCGTTTAAGTGAGATGCTGGAAATAAACAGAAGAGAATACGAAAAAAACATACACAAAAAAATATCATACAGCATGTGCGAGAATATAAGGCAAATAAAAAACCGTAATGATTGTATGTGCATGTTATTCAATGGAGAATGGAATGGAGTATAGCCGTGAATGTGGTTGAATCGTGCTTAAAAAAAATTAAATAAAAAGATGTAATCAACACAGTTTCGATGACAATTTTTCGTGCTTATGGAATTTGACACATATTTTTTTTTCTTCGTTTCGTCGAATCGCCTCGTTCGGTTCGGGCCATATTATTGGCATCAATACCGACTCTATAATAAAATATTAGGCAAAATCTATCGCAATCGAGTTATGATGTTTATTTACGTTTTCTTTTAACATCGAGACAACAGGCATTTTGCAGCGCACAGCAGGACACACATTTATTATATGTATATACAACGTTGGAGCAGATAAATTCAGATCATTCGATTATAATGCAATGTGAGTGATGACATTGTTGTTGTTGTTGGTGCTCGTTTCATACGACAAATATTAATAATATTAATTCTTTAAATACTAGCATTTAAATTAATTAATTCAAACGAAACGGGGACAAATCAAAGGAATGTTGTAATTATATTTAAATTGTATTATGTATGTGTGTGTGACGTCAAGTGTGTTCTCTCTAGCCGATGACGTCTTTTGTTTTCCCCCTTAAGTGGCCGTATACGATATCAATGCCAATCGAAATTAGATTATTGTTTAATGGACTGAATATTTGTGAGAATGTTTTTGTGAAGAAAAAAAAAATTAAACAATCGACCACATTGTATTGAACGTCGATTGATACAGATTACTAATCGCCGACAATACCGTAAAAAGAAATGCATTCACTTTATCATTTAATCAGTTATATCATTTTCATTTAAATCATATGCGATGCGATGATTTGTAATAGCGCGCTGCTATTCTGCTATTCCAAGTACTCCAAATGATAAGCATCATTGTTCAAATATATACACAATGATCGCACTTTGTTATGGCCAAGTTATCGACCAAATAGAATAGAAAAAGCTTTTATAATCATATCTCTGTTGTTGTTGCTGTATTGTATGTGATATTAAACTGGATTGATCTATAAATAATCACACATCATAAATAAAAACCAGTCTTCAATCTTGAGTTGTGTGTTTTTTTTTCTTTCACCATGGAATGTAATCATTGGTGAGGCTACTTCTTCTGCAAATGCCTTTGAACATTTCATTCTCTATCTGTCTATTCATATGTATATACAATTGTAGGCATTTAATCATAAATAATCCGTAAACTATGTAATCAGCGCACGAAAGATCTCTTTCTCTTTCTATCTCTGTCACTCTCAACTGGAGTGAAACAGGAGAAATAAGCTGACAACAAAAAAACGACTACACACAACCAGAGACTAGAGATGAAATGCTTATGGAATGTGTTCTTCTGCTGCTAAGCTAGTCGACGACGTCGTCGTCGTCGTCATCGTTGCCGTTATTGTTGTTGTTGTTCTTGGGTTTTTTCTTCTTAACCTTTTAATAAATAAATCCACGCGCGCACACAGCACTCGATTAATACACAACATTGAATTGGTTGATTCGTCGCTCAGTCGGTGTTTGGTACACAGCTAGAAAACTCTTCTATATCATTCTCTCTCTCTCTCTCTCTCTCTCTCTCTTGATGATCTATGAACAAAAATATTAATATTTAACCAGTAGGTACTGGCATATATAATATAAACTGGGAGACGTGTCGGTATGAAATAATCGGTGGTGCGAGTTGCTCTTGTTCATTTTTCTTCTTCTTTTTCGTTTTTGTAGTTATTCCTCGACATTTTTTCGTGTGCCTTTCTTGCTCGCACCAAATACGCTCGAGCAGATTGCGCGTGAATAACTTATAAGTATTTATCTATTATGGTTATTATTGCCATTGCTTGTCGTTCTTCTCTCTTTCTCTCTTCTTCCCGCTCTGTCTTTCCATATGTTGTTTCTCTGGTGCATGTGTCTGTGTTAATGTACACAAATTCAGATTGGGGCTCGATCATTTCTATACATGTACACAGAAAACAGACGACCCGCGACCCGATCACTTGAATTTTGAAAAAATGCGCTACGTTTACGTGTTGGTCACATTCCTATTTCATTTATCTGTTCTGTTTGGTTTTATTGTTGTTGTTCATTTTTACCATGTTCTTTTATACATTTTTGGTTTTGTGCATCTCTTTTACTCTACCGTTGTCGCCGTCATCGACTGTGCACAACTGCGCGTTCCAATGTGGAAATTATTCAAACAAAAAAAAAACACAACATCGAGTCATTTATACTGCTGCTATTTCGTTTACGTAAGCGTAGCTTTTATGTGTGCATTGCGAATAACGTTGTCGCATGTTTCACAGGTCTATGACCATTTTTTTCGTTTTTTTTTTTTATTTCATTTCATATCTTTTATATTGCTGATGATGATGCCGTTGCGGCTTGATTTACAATCACGCGCGCGTATACACACACAATACATGCTCACCAACCAATTTTGAAAGTTTATGCAACAAAAAAAAAACCATTTCTATCATTTTTTGTGGCCGTCGATAGCTAGAATGAGCGTAAGACGAATTTTTCGTTCAACTGCAAAGAATGATCTCATGGCAAATGAAACATACTTTCAACGTACATAAAACATCCTTATATGAGGTTGTATTACGAGAGAGACATGTATTTTTTTTTCAATTGCGTTAACCGTTTCGATGCATAGCATGCGCTCGCACCACGACCGTTTGCATCCATGACGGTCAGCCAACTTAGAATTTTACACAGAGATAATGTGCAAGAAAGAAATATGGAAAAGAGAAAGAAGAAGAAGAAAAAAAAATCCAGTTTTAGTCGAATACGCGATGCGTTTTTACCGCTTTGAATGAACACATTCTAGATACTATGTAATTGAACTTTTATATATATAAAACTGATCTATATAATACGATTAATATTATTGCTTGCGTGGATTGAATACCCAAATAGAATGCGAATTAATTCTATGCTCGTGACAAGCCTATTGATTAAAACCATCGAGAAAAAAAATCATTGCAAATTCCATTGATGTAAATGGGGCTCCCAATGTCTTTTTGATTCACAAATACAAAAAAAAAATGATTGAAAACATTTTTTATGGGTGAATCAGAAACATTCCGATATGGCTGATTACTCAAAACTTCTTATATGGGTGAATAATGTAGTTGAAATTTTGATGAATTATCAATTACTCATATAAATAAATCGAAACCGAACCACCGAATGATTTCAGATAAATATTTGAATAATCGTTTCCATGGAATATTTATTTCATTGGCCAGGCAATAAATTCAATTCGTACATTGACATACATTCAAGTGCAGCGTGTATCGAATTGATTTTGGCTTTTTTGGTCGATAGTTTCGTTGAACTCAGACTGACAATATCTTAAGTTGACAATGCAATTTGTCTGTTGTTTACAAAGAACCGTTTTATCAATTTAATTCCACCAAAAATTCGCATAAATTGACTGCTGTTTTAAATATATTTTCACGAACTTTGTCATTCGAATATTTACTTAAGTCCATGCAATTCTCGATAATTTATTATGAATTTAAAAAAAAGTCGACAAAAACTCTATTTACTCGCAAGAATTATTATCAATACGAAACCGGATACATCAGCAAATTGTGTGCGATTTGTTTATTGCATATGCAGTAGTATAGAAGGAAAAAAAACTTGAGACTTTTTACTT